AGCCCAGTACGAAAGCTGGTCAGAAACCACCAAGAAGGTGGCTGGCACCGGGCAAAAGACGTGATCAGACACTGGTAGACACGGCTGGAGGCGCGTTAGCCCTGCTGCCAGTCCTTTCCTGTTTGGGCTATAGCTGATTCTTTTTCTCTCTCACACAGATCAGGACCGATGAGAAATCCCCCAGCTTTTTTAATTATGGTGTTTCGACGGCTGATAGAGGAATGACCAGTATTCCACTCGTTCGTTGGAAATATACAAGTCAAGGTAGATGCCCACTTGCCTTGCCCATGGTACGGACTATCCATGGAGAATCGAGGTGATGATTGATGGTGGGCTGGTGGCAGGGCTGGGGGCGCAGTCCCCACATGACGCCCAGCTAGTGAAGGCCTTAATGCCTTGGTTCCTAGTCTAGGCTAGTGGCCGAATCTCTTCTCAGCAGTTGTCGGCGGGGAACCAAGAGTCCAAGACTCCAAAGAATCCTGCTAGAACACTGTCTGGGACTCTGAGCCTCTTAGACCTTTCCTTTTGGCTACGTGCTCTGCTGCGCCTCGCTTCGGTGACTAGGTCATTCTTATTAGCATTCGGCTAATCGAAATTTATCCCTAAGAATGTGCTGCCAACCATCACTGCTAACCGCTTGAGGGTTGGTTGCACATTGGCGTGTATCTGTCTTGTGCCACCGCCCTTTTTTTTTCCCCTCCAGGCCAAGAAGATCAAGTGCTATTGCGACAATAATGATATAGAAGGCCATCGTCCTCTTTTTGATCTATTCTATCCGTTTCTGTTCTTCGACAATGGATGTGGTTGTTGACTGACTCGGCAAAGGTGGAGTGTGCATGAAGGACGACATGGTTACCGACCTATAATCAAGTCCGAACATTCCTGTCAACGTCAGCTTTGCTGGTCGAATTCTCTATGACCAGGGGGCTTTTTTATTCTTGCGCCCTGAAGACAAGAAAGCGGACGAGACACTTTCAAATGGCGCCTGTTACATGTTAAAGCTTGATTGTGTGCTTATACCTGTCTCCTGAAAGCGTTTTCTACATTTGCAGTCCTTGGTGCATCTGATTTCTCTCACTGCGGCATCGGGCCGCAACGCTTCAAGCTCGAAAAAACGCAAATCGAGGGGGAAAACCCTGCATCTCCAGCAAGCCTTGAAGGGGTTCATACAAGGACGGTTTACAGAATGGCGGCGGATCTCGATACCGGCAAGATCAAGAACTGGCGTTCGATCGTCACTCTTATTGTTTTCATCATCACTAGTATGTCTACTAGGCGATCCTGGACCGCATCGAATCCTAAGCGACTGACTCTTGCAGATATCATCGTCCTTTTTCCCTTCCATATTCCCATCTACGTCCCACGCGCATTCTCAAATGCAGTGCTGGGTTTTTTGAGCAAATTGCGAATTATTCCTCCGAGGGAAAATCTTTTTCAACCCGACGATCAGGAAGACCACAATGGCAAACTTAAGCCATATGTACGATTTAACTTTCCTCTTAACTTTGTCACAGCACCGCTCATAGCAGACCTCTTTCTGCTGGCGATCGTGGCGATCGGACGGGAGGAAGTGCGCGGCGGCACGCTTGGGGCCGACAATATCATCCCAATCGATATCATGGCCTTCTTCCTAACCCTGGCTTACATCGCGATCTCCATCGATGCATCTGGTCTGATTAGGTACCTGGCTTTCAAAGTCCTTCAAAAAGGTGGCAAGGTCGGGCACCGGCTCTTCTTTTACCTCTACGCCTTTTTCTTCGGCCTAGGAAGCTTCATTGGAAACGATCCGATTATTCTCTCCGGTACCGCATTCCTCGCCTATATGACCCGAGTATCAAGCAACATCGTCCATCCAAGAGCTTGGATTCACAGTCAGTTTGCTGTTGCCAACGTCGCCTCCGCGATCCTTGTCTCCTCGAACCCAACCAATCTCGTGCTAGCGGGGGCTTTCCAGGTCAAATTCATTGAGTACACTGCTAACATGATTGTTCCCGTCGTGGTCACCGCCATTGTTTTGTTTCCCTTTCTACTGTACATCATCTTCGCGGATGAATCCCTCATCCCTCTTTCCATCAAGATGCACGAGCTCACAGAAGAAGAAAAAGAGAAGAAGCCCGTAAACCCCAACATACCTCATGCGAGGGGAAGGGCCGATGAAGAAGAAGACCTCGCGGACGATGAACAAAAGCTCTCGCTCGAAGAGATCATGAATCCTTTCCTGGATAAAGGAGGCGCTGCATTTGGAGCTCTCATCATGGCGGCCACGCTCATTACTCTGCTAGCCCTCAATGCCTCTAGCCAACGAGGCCACCCTAAACCCGTTTACTGGGTGACCCTGCCGGCTGCGGGGGTCATGCTGTGCTGGGATCTTGCGTTTGGATGGTACCACCGTCGTGAAACACGCGAGATTGCCCGTAAGGGCCGCGCAGAAATTGAGCAGGCCCGAGCGGAGCGTGCCCTTAGAGATGAGGAAGCCATGCGCGCGCAACAGATTGCCGAGGCATATGAATTCGCTGAATCGACAGAAGCCCGATTACGGAAAGAGCCCCACGCTGAACCAGGCACCGATGAGGGGAATACGGCCGATGTCACAAGCGTACGGCCATCAGATCGAGTTTCTACCGGCTTTTCGTCCCAAATGTCGGATGGCCAAAGTCAGACGCTGGCATCTCCTCTAGAATCATCCGTTTCGACACTGGCACCCAAGGATGATCGGTTGCAGAACGGAGAATTCAAAACCGACACCATGAGCACGCTGAACGAAAAGCAGGAACTCTCCACATCAACGCCACGGGAGCTGTCAGGTGCAGCTTCCAGTCTTGAGATGGATGTGGAAAGACGGATATTCTCCGAGAGAGTATCGCACGAAATCGCATCAGGAAACGGTCGAGAACGGGTAACTCTGGTGTCTCTTGCCGCAGACGTGTACAGATGGTCGCAGGAGACTTTCCCCACCGCTACAGCGGTTGTGTCACACATGCCATTTGCGCTTGTGCCTTTCTCCTTTGCCATGTTTGTCCTCGTACAAGCCTTAGTCACCAAGGGCTGGGTCCCGGTCTTCGCTTACGGATGGCACCATTGGGTGCACAAGACGGGGACCGTCGGAGCTATTGGAGGCATGGGCTTTGTTTCGGTGATCCTATGTAACGTGAGTTGCGAATCTCAATATTGACACAGTCGGGCCTGCTCAACTAATCTGTCACATTTACACTAGTTTGCTGGCACCAATATTGGTACCACCATTCTCCTTTCCCGAATCATACAAGCATGGAAGCAGATCAACGACGTGGACGGCACCTTCATCAGTGACCGGACATTTTGGGCGACTGTGTACAGTATGGCGATCGGAGTCAACTACGGTGCCTTTAGCACGGCTTTTAGTGCGTCGTTAGCCGGTCTCCTTTGGCGTGACATCCTTGCGAGGAAGCATATTCGCGTCCGCAGCCTTGACTTTGCACGAGTGAACCTTCCCATCATTGCCGTTTCTATGGCTGTAGGGTGTGCCGTCCTCGTTGGGGAGGTCTACATCATGAGAGATAACTCTCCCTATAATCCACCACGATGAACTTGGAGCGCGAACTGGCTAGAGTGCCTGGGAGATGCACTCATCCAGCTCATTCCCTTCCTTTGGCATTCGAGCGAGCATCTCAGAAGTCGTCTCTTCAAGAGACCTGTGGCAACAGCGCTCCTCAGCAGAACCACTGCCCATGTGAGCCACAAAAGATGACTTGAAGACTCCAGAGACTCTGATTCGACTCTCAGCCTTGCATGGCTGCCGTCCTACGGAGTACCATACTCGAACGGCCTTGAGAGTGAAGAGTCAACGGCATCATCGTTAGTTTGAAAGCTGCTGCTAGCTCGTCTTGAACGCCGAGTTCAAAAGGCAAACTGCCTACCTGAGGGCAGTGACAGAAGAAATCTTCCATTGAGAAAACTTCACCAGCCAATCCGGTCATGTCCTATTCCATAGTTTGTTTTTTTTGTTCTTATATTTGCTTGGAAGATTTACGACTCTTTACGACTTGACGACTTCACAACGAGCCATGTGCCCTAGGTTTCCACTACATACGCATTTTGATAGACATCCCCCTGAATGCTCCCTTCCCGAGCAATTGAACTCAAAAGTGAACAGTGTCATACGTGAATATCCAACCAAGAATCTTAATAATATTCGAAGATCTTGATTGCTCGGTTGCCCCTAGTTCTATCAACTACCTTGTGGAGATCCCATGTCTCCCCCCGGACCAGGGACAGTATTCACATCTGCATATACACAACCGTACCAATGTCAAGCATTTCTATGTAGCGACATCTCGAAGTCTTTGTCAATTTGCACTCAACGGATATAGGCGCCTGCTGATGTAGGGCTGTTCGGCCAAGGAGACTAGGCATGGAATATTGCCGAGTCAAGGAGGTACCTGCTTATTCTAGAGTCAGGCTTCGTCGGATTTAACGGTTCTGCTTCAGGCGCCCGGTCACTGGGAGACACTTTCGCAATCAAATGCGTACCGAATGTCCTTGGGACTTGTCAGTCTCATTCAAGTGCTTAACTGGGGCCGAGACACTCTGTGGGATTCAGTATGAGATCGTTCACTGTACCCCGTACACGCGTAAAGCAGTGGAGGGCCACGTAGGGTCGTGGTTTACTTCGCAACCCTGACGGGAAATCAGACCATCTTCCGGTGCACAAAGCTTCGGATTTTCTGGGATCTTGAAAGCACTGGAGTTTGATCCGCTGATTATCATCTCGGAGATAAGTTAAAGCTCGACCCATTGCGTAGCACGGATCCAGAGACGGGCGATCAGGTCATTGCGTGTTCCTCTTCCTTCAATGTCTAGACAGCGTATAAATACCTCATACCATGGCATTTTTGACTGAAAGTAGATCCAGACTAATCCTGTACCACTCTGTTCTTGCTCTCATTCCTTTGTTGTTAAGGGATAACATCCATTTCAACAGACTCCAACCGTGGTTTTTCAGCCAAAGACCAGCCTCAAAGATGCAAGAGGCCAGACCAGTGCGTATCTTACTCCTTCCTCCAGATACCCGCCTCAGACTAATAGACTCCAAGTCAGTTGAAGATCTGGCATTAGCTCTGCACGAGCATATCTTTACCCAGCCCCAAGAAAGATTCGCGAACCTGCCCTGGGAGTTGGTCAAGGCCATAGAGGCCTTCGCACAGAACAAGCGGATGATGATTTCCAAAGAGAACAAGTTAACCTTAGCCCGTCAACGACTCCAAGATTGCAGCCGCCTCCGAAGAAAATAATCGAATTCGGTACCTATGTTGGTAACTCCGCCATCGCCTGGGGCGCGATTCTACGCGTCCTGCATGGTGAGAATGTGCACGATTGCAACGTCTACACTTTGAACTGAGCCCAGTAAGTGCTCAGGTAGCTCGAGACCTTATACATCTCGCTGGGCTGGAAGACCTCGTTCGTGTCCTGGAGGAGCCTGCTGCGGAGTCACTCAAGAAATTGCATACAGAGGGAAAGGTGAAGGCGGCGGCAGTGGACATGGCGTTCTTCGATCACTGGGAGAAGTTTCTATTTGCGTGGCTTGCAGCTCTGTGAAGATCTCAAGCTGTTCCACAAAGGGCCTGTGGTCATTGCGGACAATACCGACATTCCTGGAGCTCCTGACTATCTGGCTTATGTCAAGGCTGGAGGTCGAGGAGGGAAGGGGACTGTTCGGTATGATAGTCCGTCATTGGAAGCGGTAGCGGAAGAGGGTCACCCGGTATGTCTATAGTTGTCTTATTTTCTTAGACGGACGACTAACTCTGCGGAAGAACATTGTCGAGGTTAGCACTGTCGTCGATATTGATTCCTAGATCGGTGCCGTTGTTGGACCGTGGAGGATATATTGACAGTTGGACAATGCGGAGGACAAGTCGTATGACAGCAGCCTTTTTTCAGAAAACTTTTCTCAGAACTGATCCGAACAACTTGCATCTGGGTTGAAATGGCTGCGAATCTTAATAATGAACAAAGCCGAAGAGTATATTTGAGAGCTGAAATTGATCTGTATGCCCTCTAAAACTTAGTTGCAACCTGACTACCTAAGCATTCTATTGGCGGTCAGAGCGACGTCCGCACCGCATCATCTCTCTGTATCTTGGGTGCGGAATAAATACACCAGCAGACATCTGTACCTTAGCAACTCCTATCTCCGCATCCCCTCAGGTGCGGCCAATATCAATGACTATAACGACACGATAACGATGACATGAGATTCCCAATCCGATATACACCACGCTTATAACATCCTCGAATCACGAATTAGAGTGATGCTGCACGATTTAAAGCATTGAAGTTCCCTTCCTCAGCAGGACGATTGTCCGAATCCTATCTATCCACCATGTACATCAGACCTCTCCCCCACCCATACACATCCGCGATTGACCAACCTCAAACACAGGGCCGTTTTCTCCCTAATCATAATCAACAAAGCCGGCGGCTTGATCTACCAGCGCGAGTTCCAGCCGGGCCTGCGCAAACTCTCCACAAATGACTACCTCGTCCTTGCAGGGACGTTTCACGGGTACGTTGTCTCGAATGACCGCCCTCCCACGCGAGAATCACCTTCTTGAAAAGCAAATCGCTAACAGCAACCGTCATACACAGCGTCCACGCCATCACCCGCTCCATCACCCCAAAATCCCCATTCCCGCGCCCCTCCCAACAACACCCGCGTCCTCCTCAAACGTCGCCCTCTCGTCGCCCTCGGGCACATCCACCCCGACGCCGGCCGCGTCGGCATACAGTCTCCCTAACCCCGGCGTACCGGTGACGGGACTCGAATCGCTCGAGACGGATAAGTTCCGGTTAACGTGTTTCCAGACCTTGACGGGGACCAAGTTCCTCTTGTTCACGGATCCGCTCATGGCGAACATTGATGCGGTGATTAAGAAGATCTACGAGTTATATTCAGATTATGTGATGAAGAACCCTTTTTATCAGCTGGAGATGCCTGTCCGGTGCGAGGCGTTTGATCGACATCTAGGTGGTTGGTTGAGAGGAAGAACATGATGAGTTGGCGGGACTGAGATTAGACCACTTTTGAGTGCTGGCGAATGGACTATGCTCGCTACTTGGCGAAGTGGTCAGTGATGACATGGAGTACGGTTTTGTGGCATGATAGACTTTGCAATACAATCCATATCACTTCTTCAAAGCGCGTAGTGGAAGGCACGCTTTCTAGAATTACAAGAGCAGATGTCAATACAGAGAAACGCCGGGTATGCATTAAGAGTCATCCACCATATAAAAGGTCACACGACACTTTCTTACGCGGTGTCCATCTTGTCACCGTCCTCTTTCTTGCCTTGGCTTCCACTCGATTCCCCGCCCGGCTGACCTTCTTCGGGGATGTTTTCTAGGTTCGCTTTGCGCTCAGCCTCTTCCCTCTCACGCTTCTCCTTCTCCTGCCGGTTCTTCTCCTCCTCAAGCGAAAGACGCAAGGCGAATGCGAGCTCAGGGTCGTTTTCAGCAGCGTCCTCGAAATTAAAGCCGCCATCACCACCTTCCGCACCGGCGCCGCCTACTCCCGCCTCGCCGCCCAAGATAGGCGTGGCCTGAAGCTCCTCACTGAGCAGGTTCGGGCCCGGGGTATAATGGCTAGGTTGGAGCCGTCGCCACCCTTGACATTCTCCACGAACGCCTCCAATTTCTTGGTTTGATCGGACTCCAGGTCTCCAAAGGCAATGACATCGATCGACACATTATTCTTCTTCATCTTCTTAGCCAGCTTGACCAGGGTCTTTTCGTCTTCTTCGATAGGGGAGCAGGAAAAAACGATGATGCGTTGTCTCTGAGACTTCTCGGAGCGGTGCTTTAGAGCAAGCTAGTATCAATTTCGTCAGTATCTATCGACGAGACTTGAGATCGAGGACGGATGACATACACCAGCCACCTGTATACTGGAGCTGAGATGGGCACTGCCATGAATCTTGGTGCGGTGCAGACCGGCGAGAATGCTGCCAAAGTCGGAGGTAAATGTCGAAAGAACTTCAGGACCCTTGCCACCCATACTCATGAGCCCCACAGCAGACTGTGGATGCACGCGCATTTTGGCGCTGTGAATGACGCTGACAGCATCGACCTGTGCTTGCCATCGTGTTGAGCTGCAAGTTGTCAGCCCTTGAGCGACAGAGCTTATCAAAGCTGGGCAAAACCAAGGAATCCTCACGTATAGTCTCCATTTCTGCTACTTTCACTATTATCCACACTGGAAAGAGGTTAGTCAACGGACAGATAGCTTAAATCGAGCTGGAAAGGACGGACATGATCATGGTTGCTTCGAGCGACATCTTGGCTAAGGTCTATTTCGCAAGTTCGGGATGAGGCAGTATGTAGATATTATCCAGTAGGACGGAATTAACTCTTTGAAGATTATAAAAGGTCTGAGAAAAAGCAATAGTGGAGTGAGGAAGTTAACAGTGATGGAAGTGATGAAGATGGGCGGAGGTGACGATGGAGGTTGGAGCTGCTTGCAGGCGAGATGTCACACTCCGCTCGGAAGCTAACGACGAATTAAGTCAGCGCTTGTTTACTCTCCCGGTAGACTGCCATCAACATCATCCTCCACGCGCAGTCATCGTTCTTCATTGACCTTCCCCCAACGCTCTGTTCTTATTTGTCGCGATCAATCAACTTGTTTTCATCAAATTACGTATTGACGCACACTTTGCGATGGCTTCTCCTACTAAACGCAAGTCTCCCGACGCAGACCGTGACGCGTATCCTAGCGACGATGCCAGAACACCCACCGATGCTCCTCCTCACAAGAAGCTACGGATAACCCGAAGCCAGAAGCAGGCCCTCATCGATAATTTGCAACTAGAGAGTATGGTCTTCTCAACGTTCTGGATGCGCCATGTACTAACACAAGGTACAGTCACAGAACGAGCTCGCAAGCTTCGCGCACAATACGCTCTCCAGGCACATGATCTGCGGTCTCGAATCGAAAGGCGCATTAACCGTATTCCCGTCGCACTTCGAAAGGCCAAAATGGGTGAATTGCTCGAGAAGCACAATAACTCTCTCCGAATGCAACAGACCGCCCTGTCCCCCAAGAAACACGCCAGTCCCGGTAAAGGAACGCGCAATCTCACATCTGCCTCAGTGAAACGCGGAAAACAAAGTGTCTCTACTGCAAGCCCAAGCACACGTAGACTAAAAAGGCAAAGGTGAGTTACCATGACCCTGTCCAATCTTCCGATCCTTGTTCGCCCGCTGACGGACTGGTGTCAAGTCATGAGGGACTCTATTCGGACAAGGAAAACGCCCCTGCTGCAGGTGACTCTCTTGATGTACTCAAAAATCCCAAGAGGCGTGCCAATCCGGCCGGTACTTCACGCGTCGTTTCTCAGGAGGTCCGAGGCGCAGACTACCGGATCCTCTCTCCAAAGTCTTTGAACTCCAGAACGTATCCGCAGTCACCGTTCCGTGCATCTCCCGAGAAACCCCATAACTCATCATATCTCTCTCGTCCCATGTCGCCCTTGAAACCATCCAGCCCCTCAAATCGACGTCAGCCAGTGCAGCGGGAAACGCGGATAATGCACGGTCGCGGACCACGAAGGCCAATACAACTTCCACAAGGGACATGAGGCCACCATCCCAAGCTAAGAGACCCGCCAGCCGAGCTGCCGCGACAACGAAGACTGTCCGCTCTCCCTTCTCCCGCCCTGCCACCCAACTCGACCGCAGAGGGAGCATCTCCTCCACCGCTTCTTCGGGAACGACGGTGATCAAGCCAGGCAGAGCAGGAGCGGGTACTAGGAAAGCAACCACTGCTTCTTCTGCCAGTGCCCCCGTTAAGAGGACAACGATCGCCCGCAACCAAGCGCCTTCCGTGGCCGCCAAAAGAAGCACAGCGTCTGCGACCAGGAAGGCCACCGCTCCCGCAGGAGGTGAAGCTTCAGCCACGGGACGTCGAGTTTTGCGCAAGCGAGCGTAAATTTGAATGCAGAGTGTTTGCATACACAACGTTGGAACTGCTTACCAGCGACGGTGTTGTTTTATCTGGAGTGGTGTAATTGTTTCTTGGGAGGGTCAACCAATTCGAGATTGGTGTTCATTGGGGCCGTGGCATGCCATGGCATTTGCATAACTCATTTGGCTGTCATCTTAATGGTTGTATTCCTGTGGCTTTCCGTCCGGGTTCTATCCTTGTACGTTCATGCTTTGCTCATGAGTTTTCATTGGAGTGCTGGCTTTCGATTACCAAGTTGGTGGGACATTTTATGCAGATTTGCGAGTTGGTTGGGCTTCCATCTCTTCCTCTTCAGTTGAAGGCGCTGCTCTTGGTCTCAACAGTTCTGAAGGATTCCATTCGGCTAGACGTTGTATGAATCATTTGTGGAATTGAGACTCGGACTTTTAGCTTTGTTATAACTGTTGCTTTTGCCCTTGCTTGCCATTTGTCTCTTACGTCTCTCCTGCAGAGGCCTGCAAGTGACGCTTGGATCGGGAATGGAATAAGTTTTCTCGTAGGGTCAAAGTCTCTTCGTACCTCTAGGGTTACCTCAAACCAGAAGAACTATTGCCATTGTACTACAGATATATGAACGCGGTCCTACAGATCGAGAATCATTGCGGTGAAGCAACAGAATCGGGCTTCGTCCAATTCCTAAAGTAGATTACACCTCTGGTTCTTTTTTATGAGGAAATGACACCGCATCAGGACAAGTACGCAATAATCGAACAACTTCTGGGGAATATTACCTCAGGGAGGCAGCAAGGGTTAAATGAAGTTGGAAAAAGAAGAATAAAAGTAAAAGGGACCGAGAACAACGAAGCCACAACATTGACTCAGAACAGGTATCTTTGCGGTCGTGCAGGCCGACTAGCGAAAACAACAAAAGACCAAGAGATACACTCACCATTTACGCACCATTGTTGATGGGATGAAAATGCCAAACACCAGGAAGGAAACAATGCGAAGTAAAGAAGAAAAAGAAAAGGAGGGAAAAAAAAAATTAAGTGAGAAGGTCAGGAAAAAAGGCAGTCAATGCAACGACATGCCCAGGTCGTGATATGAAAATAAGTAATCAAAGTAGAAAGTGAAAGCGAGAAGAGAAGGATCTGAGTTGAAGGTGAGATGGTAAGCCGAGAGTCGGAGAAGACTTGACCAACAGCCACTTCCACCACCAACTGATCAAAAGCCAAGAATCTGTGCGAGACAAATCGAGTTAACGAGAACCTCGCGGTTGCATGTCCTGCACGGTGAAGGAAGAAAACGTGGAGAGAAGAGAGATAAAAGGAACACTGCCAGCAGCTGTGACAAGAACCGAGCAGCCGGCAATGTAGAGATGTCAAAACTCAGATCAAGCGGACAAGGAGAAAGAACTCCATCCAACCCAAGCAAAATGAGAGAACGCTAGATGGTTCAAATGTGCGCCGTAACATCCATTTGCATATCAAAAAAAGAAAACGATGTGATTGGTCGGCAAGGAAGACAACTGGACTCGTCTGAGGATGAAATAGGCAGCGCAATGAGATAGGGTAATTCTAATGGTTGGGAAGGACTCGTTTTAAATTAGCCAGCGACTCCCATGGGTCCCGCTCCTGGACGAGACCTGTAAGGCATCTGTTGGAGTTGTCCCTCCTGTGGAATGGGACTCTGTTGGCTGCCGTTGCTGGCGCTTCTTTCACGGTAGCTGGCGGTCTGTCCCGGCGCAAGTTCCATTCCATTGTAAGGCGCCGATGCACTGTTTGCGGGGCTGTGTCCACCTGTGTTTTGCACGTGGCGTACAGAGTTTTGCGCCTGCCATGATCCGTCCTGAGACTGGTCTGTCTCAATGCGCGCAGATGTAGGAGTATTGGCTCCTCGGTTATGAGGATTTGTGATTGTCACAGTTTCTCCGCCGTTGTTGGGTTTCGGAGAGAAGCTTCCTCGCGCAATGTCGCCATATCTCTTCAGAATTTCCTTTGTGCTGACTTCGTTGTTATCCTTGAAGAATGTGGTGTCGCTAAGAACAGCCTGAAGATCTTCCGGTATCTTAATGAGACAGTCAGTGAGCTGGTCCACTGTGCATTGGGTTGTGGAAAGGACTTACCTCGCACATAGTGTCGTTGTAAGTGATAAGAGCATTGACAGCCTCGATTGCCAAGAAGCTTTCATCAACTGTGCTATTCTTCGTATTTGGATAGAGGATGTTAGGTGTTATGACAGTTGCAAGATTGTGGATATCCATCTTGCTACCCGTATCCTCGTCCACATGCGAGAAAGACGACGTCCAGTTTAGAAAGGCGAAGAGGACTTCCATAGTATCCCGATGAGCCTTGGGCAGCAGACAGCACGTGAGATGCAGTAACCGCTTTTGCTTTTCGGGGTCAGGTATTTCTGTAAATGGTGACGTTAGCAGAGGCTTTGAAATTGGGATGCGGGAGCTCAACTTACTCTGTGAGATAACGAATAGGTTATGGAGTTTGAAAGTCAAGAGTGGGTCAGGCATCTCGCGTAGGAACTTCTTCAACAAAGCTGCAATCTGCACAGGAGTCTCCTTTGTGAGGTCAACCTGGTCGTACTTATTGTCGATCATCTCGGAGATCTCCTTCAGCCGTCGAATATTACCATTCTTTCGAAAAACACCTTCCACAGACATATCCATTTGCCGCATCGCAGATACAGCATCATCAACAAGAGCAGGAACGCGAAGCGCGCCAGGTCCGACGCCATGAGTGGATTCCGTACCCTCCTTTTCGACCAGGAAGTCGAGGCTCACGCCGAACACACCCTTCTTCTTGCCGGCCTTCTTGGCATCTTTGTTGAAGGCGCGACCGAATATGTTCCATATTGTTGGCTTGCGAGACTCAATCAAGGAGAGTAACTCATCCAGCGTGAAGTAACCCTCCAGCAAAGGCTCCATGGACAAGACAGCGACATGCCGTACGATAAAATATTCGAGAGCTGAGAGTTCAGAGAAGTACTTCTTGGTCTTGGTGGTTCTCTCTGCGAGATGAGATTCCAAGTTGCCGCTAGACACACCGCGTTGATGGCCTTGGTTATACCTAGGAAGCGGCTCAGTCGTACCCACGAGTTTAGTGCCGGCATGTCTGTAAGCGTTGGGACGTTGTTCTTTTGCTTGCTCGGCGGCCACAATCCTCGGAATATCGTCCAATGTCAAAGCGTCCTGATTACCAAATGTCAGGTCGGTGACAGTCTCGCCATTGGCATCTCTTTCCTCTACAATTTGGAAGCCATGGCCACGGGGATCGGAACCTTCTCCGCCCGAAGAACCGGGCCTAACACTTCGACCCTCAGGACCGTCGATAATTCTTGAAGCCCTAGCTCGCTTGTATGTAGTTGACAGAGTACGCTCGTTTCGAATGGACCGCAAGCGTCGCATCTCGCCCACAGTCTGCTCAAGCGATGATTCAGCAGCACCGTCTCTGCCCGCATACTTCGACCTTGTCGTGGATCTGTGGATTTCACCGCCAGATTGAGGTTGGCTGCCATCTTTAGTCCCACTCCCAGTGAAGCTCGGGTCATCTAGAGAAAGCAGAGTGTTAGCCCATTGCTGACCAGTATTAGCATTGCGACGGGATACCATACCTGAAGTGGGTTGCAAGGTTCCTCCAGCGTGCAAAACAGCAAGAAGGCGCGCGAGTGCAACCCGTAACAGGAAGACAAACTGCTGTAATTTGCTCACACGAGTAAAGCCACCTTGAGTCTCATTCGCAAGACCTTGCTGTGAGGCGCAACTATTGCAGAAAACCTTTTTTATCCTGGGACTCCAGAGGGCCTCTTGACAAGTATCGGTAAGGTCCGTTTGACATGATGCACACGTAAGATGAGGTGGCTTGATGTGCCACCTGGATTCACCCAGCATGATACACTCATCATCAATTGGTTCTTTACATGCTGCACAGCAATCAGAAAGCTGATCGGCAAGACTGGCTACCCCAGCCATGAGATCTGCAGGTGTTTCTTCTTGCTCCGGGGGCCTGAGTGTCTCGATATCTGCCAAGTGATCGAGGAAGTGATACAAGCCTTCGGGACTCTTCTTCTCCCTCTCCAGCTTCAGAGCGCCTTGAAGCCCGATGCGGATGAGAAGCTTAAGGTAGTGGGCAAGACCAGTGACTAATGATAGGAGTTCTTGCGTGACGCCTAGTTTCCGTACCCCAGCTTCCTGGGTCTTGGACAGCAAAGCGAAGAAGGCGACGATTTTCTTGCACAATAGTTTGGCTTCACGTCCGTAAGAAAGGTCTGGATACTCAGTCAGTCCGCACTTCATTTTCTGCCCCCGGAAAGGCGGTACTTACCCTTCATCTCTTGCGCCTTGATGTATCCAGCAAGTTCATCGATGGCGCGGAAAAGAACTTCGACGTGACCAATGAATCTCTTAGCAACTAGGACTCCATCCAGATAGGAGCCATTGCTGACGTGTAGTAGCATATCCGAGATGCAGGCAGCTGAAGACTCTTCGAAACCAGAAAGAATGCTCCAGATCCTGTAAACCTTCTCCTCCATCATATCTTCTTCTTCTCGGACTCTATTGCGTTCCTCGTCAGTGGCATCGAGACCCGCCTCAGGATGCTCCAGAGGCTGGCCATTTGGAGCTAGGCGCACATTCCAAAATTTATGAATCATATAGCACTCTGGATGCCAATGCTGATTTTGACCATTGCGGAAAATCTCCACAAACTGCTTCAGAATAGCTGTATGACACCCGTGGCATCTCTGGGCAAACTGGGTGGAATAGTGGAAATGACAGTATACCCTGCCCTCATGCTCATAATAGGAGTCTTGGGCGCCAAAAACTGTCGGACAAACTGAGCAAGTGAAATGCTCGATGTGGTACTTGTGGTCTAAGGCGGTGATATAGGAACCACGCAAAGCACCGCCACATTCGTGGCAGAGGAGATCCAATCGCCGAAAGTAATCCGTCTCACACAGTGGATATTGTCCGCTTCCGTCTTCAGCGTCGACCGGAAAGAACTTGGATGCCACGATTTGCCCGCAATCCTGTTGTCAGAGGCAGTTAGCTAACAGGACGCGGCGAGTTTTGTTGAGGTGGACGACTAAACTAACCTCACACTTGAAACACTCAAGATGATACGTTGCGCCAAGTGCGCGTACAAATTGGCCCGTCAGAGGCTCGCCGCACTTTTTGCAAATACGCGAACTACCGGGGGATTTTGTGGGCGGACGGCCGCTCTGAGAAGGTCTGTCACGTTGCGCTGACTTCTCCCAATAACCAGCTCGATCACGCGGAGTTGATGGGTCCCGCTGGCCAGGGTTGTTCGAGTCCAATCTTCGGCCCGTGCGACCGTCTGGATTCTGCATCCCATCTACCGGGCTAGTCACAGCAGACCCATTCCGCCCACCAGATCTTGCACGCGGCGAGTCGAAAGTTCTATTGCTGTCGGCCGGCGAAGTAGGAGTTTGTCTCTGAAAACTACCACCCTGCCCACTGGTATTTAATGTCGGACGGACAGCCCCGTTGCCCGGCACAAGGCTATCCGGCAGTGAGACATCGCCGGGAGGCATATCCGCAAGGAACGCTCTTTTCTGTAATTACTGACGGCTGCTCTTCAAAAGTACGTCAATGAAATACCGCCAGTATCGCGACAGACTTCCAGATCGGTTGGTTATTGTCCGAGGCAATTGATCGTCGTCGATACCAACAGACAACCACTGGTTAGGGTGATGGAAGATCTCCGATAAAATTAGGATGAGGTCGGGCAGCGAGGTCAATGAAGACGTCTGTTAAGGAAGACATATCAGATCAAAGTAGCATGAGTGTGTTATTTGTGGGATCCGTTTGGAGTGTATGTGGTTGTTCCCGTCAAAACTTACCTCACGCCATGTAGATGAAAACTTGCGGGGAAGTGTTAATACTTGAGGGAGCAGCGACCGAGGCGCGTGACCAAGTGATAGGTGTAAGCTCTTCTCTGACTTTCGCAAACGAGCGCCTGGAATTGCAGCAAGTTGCCGAGGACAATGCTCTGCGAACGCAAATTGCCAGCGTTGAGGGCTGCGAGATCGAGAAAGATCCGGGGTTTCAAAGAGAGTGGCGGAGTACGCTGTCTGATAGGTGCATAACCGTACCCAATCCCTTGAGCAAGACGACTTTTGAAATAAGAGCTTCAACTTGGTGTCACAGAGCAGAGACTAGAAGAGACTGACAGGGAACCGAGATCAACCAGAAGAAGCAGTCTAAAGAGCTGTGAGGAGGTATAGAGGAGAGAAAGCAGCGTGTTTTGGAGGAGGTGGGAATGTTGCTCGTTGGCGGTTGTTACTCTGCCCCCCTATGCTTCCTCTTGCTGGCTGCCCGCTAGGCCTTATCACGTGAAGGATCTCACCGCCTCCATCACCGCCAAGCGAGGGTCGGTATTGCTGAGTGCAGGCTACTACTAAAGGGCGCCATATCATCATGAATGGACAGTCCTCATGGTGAGTAAACGTTGCAGAAAACGGTGTGGAGAATACTTCCGGCACAGGCCCGGCATGAAGATGGAGAAGGAGGCTGGGAGAGAACACTAGTCTACCTCTCTAAGTGCAAAAAGCAACAATGAACGCCATGGTCACATGATCCTCAGCTGGTCCGCCATTCAGCCCTTGACTCCCAATTCTGAAGAAATGAATAATGATGCGTCTACCCAACCACCGATAAACATCAGGGCAAACCTACCTTCCAATCACCGGCTATACTAATCTATGTTCCCTGGCAAAAATTGAGGGTCAAGTATGTAAGTATTTACCTGATCGAAGGACATCTCCATCGTCCCGCCATACTGTGGTACGGGTACTGAGAAGTGCGCGTAAAGCAACCTGTAAGTTTGTAACTTTATTGTAGAGCGGCCCGAAGCCGCCCATCCCCCATTTTGTGGAGTTATGGATGAACTCATCTGTCATGCACAACAGACCCGAACCAAGGACTAGGCACAAGTAGGCGTCTTCTCAATGTCATGTCTGGCCATGATCATACGGACTTCGTAGACTCTCTTGCGAGGCGCTTGTGTTTTCATTTTAATCGTAGATAGATTTGTTGACAAGAACTACTTGGTGAGGACCCCGGATTAACACAGTTAAACTCCGCTGCTGGAAGATCCGGGTTCCAATTTCTGACTGCCTGAAGCCCTGAACCTTTTTCGACTTCAGGGTCCAACTGGAACTGAGCCATATACTGTCTATCTATGGCTGCAACTCTATAATAGAAGAGCCAAATCTTTTGGGCTTTGAATCATAATTTATCATCTTTGCCTGAATGGCTATGGTAGCCCCTCATGTCTGAGGTTAAATATATCCTCCGACCACTGTCTCTTGCTGTTAGGATATATTGGTGACATGACTCCACTGCCACTGATCATTCACCCTTAGTGTTGTTATCTATCAATTCTATATTATCGCTTTTGCAGAAGTATTAAAGCTTCTTCGGTGCTTATAGTTCTATTACTCGCAGTGATTTTTCGCCTAGCTCGTGTTTATCTGTTGATTCGTTATGCAAACACTTAAAAACCTCACCTCTCCTTCTCCCTTTTCTTTTTGAGGCTCTTGGTGTTCCTACCTAGTTCCTTCTCTAAGGACACAAAATACCTCAGAAGTTTATCTCTGCTGTATAGCACGCGTCTTACAGTTCACCTCACTTTCCATCTTATTATCCTTGTTAGTCGATAGGCTTGACTCAAACAGCATCTCCTTCTCGATAAGGCTCTCTCCGACTGGGGCAAATGCCTCTCATTAACCACAATGTCTGACCAGTCCATACTTCGCATCACTCGGGTACTATATCTCTCATCAATTTTCGTCTATCTCTTCCGAAGCATCATGTTGACTAACATAAGAAATCTTCGTTCTGGGTATCAGGAAATCAGGCATATCCAACACAACGCAGATCTTTGTATGTCTTTTACTCAAGCAAGGCTTGTTTCTCACCTCCAATTGAAAGCCTTACTGACTGACTTTCTTCATTTACAGCTCTCGCCGTGGCGTATAAGGATTCTGATATTCGCAATGTGACCGCTATTGTGTTGGGAACCCCTGGGACACCTTACCAGTTCGGTCTCTTTGAGGTCTGTGCTCATTCACACTGAAGATGAAGCCCATGGGCTGACTGCCACCTAGTTTAGCATCAGTTTTGGCAAAGGTAGGACTGCTGATCGCTTGGTTACGATCTGCGGTGAGTGTCAAACGGCTGATATTATTTCAGACTATCCTGCCACTCCGCCTATTGTTCAGATTACGACGACCAATGGAGGACGATGCCGTTTCGGTCCTAATCTCTATGCTGGGGGTAAGGTTTGCTTGTGAGTCACGGACCATGTCCATGCCGACATAGTTGTGATGCTGACAACGTTGGCACTGTAGGTCAATCTTAGGGTGATTAGAACCTGCTGAAAACCGGCTTGCCAATAACGCTGACGTCTTTGCCTTGCAGTACCTGGGGTGGCCAGCGCGGGGAGGAATGGTCGTCAGCTCAAGGACTGGAGTCCATTCTGATCTCCATTCAGAGCCTCATGTCGAACAATCCTTATGAGAATGAGCCTGGATACCAAGGGGCACATGCACCCGAGGATCAGGAAAACAGCCAGGCTTATATTGAAAAGGTAAGTTTGTCCCAGGTACGATGATTAACTGTGTGCTTACCTCGCCCTGAGATACGTCATGAAACTCTTCGCATTGCAGTTATCCAACCCTTGGAATCATCACTGGGCATTCAGTCGGACGGAACAGTCATGCCATCCGAGAGCAAGAATATAGGCGAGGATGATGACTGTGATGACTCGTTCGATGACGAAGACGGCACTTTCTTCGAGCCCTTTGCGGATCTTCGCAAGAGGCGCTTCTTATGGTACTTTGACTCCTACATGCAGGCGATCAAAGAAGCAGAACCACAGGTGAGACGCCGCCAGAGATTCGAAACCATGCCTTTTGAGACCGAAGATAATTGCATGAGGGGCCATTTTAATTATCCCGAATTGAGACGACGACTCATCCGCGTAAAGGAAGCCATCCTCAAAGAGACGCACAATTGGCCAATAGAAGGTCTCGAGGCGAAAAAGCAGGAGGCTAGCCTTGCGGTGAGCCTGCAAAGTCAGTACGAGCAGATCGTTGAGGATTTCAAGCATCGCCACAATTTCACAGTGGACCTGGGCCTCGTCCACGAAAACCCGTTCCTCTGGGTATTGATCTACTTTGGTCGCCCCATGACGCAGCTTGATGGTGGTGTGTTTAAGATCAAAATCTATCTGAGTCCACGATTCCCGGAAGAGCAACCCCGTGTCGTCGTTGAACCAGAACTCTTCCACTACCGGGTGTCTAAGGATGGAACGTTGTGCTATTTCCCAAAACGCACTGAGGAAATGCGCCATCACATCGAGGCAATCGTGGAAGCACTTGAAGAGGAGTCAGCACCTTACGATCCGCGGACAACCGTGAACCCAGAAGCATCCAAGTTGTTCTGGGGTAGCCCTGAGGATCGAAAGAACTACAACCGTGCACTCCGTCGCTCGGTACAGAAGAGCGTAGAGTGAAGCTTTTGCGGGCTCGAAACGCTTCAAGACGACATGTAAGTATGTATCCAGATATGTTCAACTGTCCCGATGAAGTTCGGAGGCTTGGTATCCGGGCTTTGATAAATCGTCTGAAAAATTCAAGTTGCCAAACGATCTTTTCTGGCGGCGCCAACTTCTGTCCTTATACCAATCTCGTCACACGCCTCCATGGCTCTGCCAAAGCTTTCGGCGACAGGAGACACTTTTCATTGGCCTGGGGCCGAGAGTCCATGATTAGTTTGGACGCAGGCGTCGAAACCCTACGATTGCAAAGCGGCACGACAGGCAAAAATGATCATTGTTTGCTAGGTTTACTTTTGCATTAATTTATCTAGCAATACCAGCCGTTGTAGGTGTCAGGTAGCGTGAATTCGCAAAAAAGCAGTTGTGGTCCACATTTTGTAGGCATAGTTGTACTTTGTCGGTTTTGTGGGGTGTTCCAAGCTCGTGCCCCAGAAAGATCTCAAGGCGGCACCGTACCTTAATAATCATCTACCTCTCTAAATGGCTAACTAAATGATGCCAACACCCCTATTTAAGTTCAATCACCGAACAAAAGTAGGAAAAAACAGACCGTGTTCTCGACCTCACTTTTTCCAAACCCGGATTTACCCCGTCTCGTTCTTCGGTGACATAAGAAAGAATATCCTTCGATCGATTGACTGCCCCTGATGCCTCAGAAGCGGCCTACTTTGGAGCTGGGCTCTGTTCTGGTGGTCGGAGGATGCGGGTTTCTGGGCTGGCACATTGTCGATCAATTGCTCAATTTCCCTTCGGAGACTGATGCCAGCGTTGCCCTCCCGAAACCAGAAGGGGACTCTCGATTCGATAATCCTCGGTTGGCCGATCGGTACCCTAGGTGCGTAGCGAAGGTCTCCGTTCTCGACCTGCGAACAGCCAACAATCGCCTGCCCGGTGCACAGTACTACGACGGCGACATCACGTCCGAAGAATCCCTGCTGGCTATTTTCCGCGAGGTCAAGCCGGATGTCGTCATTCATACCGCGACGGCGAACGTGTTGGAAGGAAACAAGGAGCTGCTGCGCAAGGTCAATGTCGATGGAACCAAGACGTTACTGGAGGTCGCGGGCGGTGACCGTGGTGACTGGGGTGGGAAATGCAAAGCCTTTGTGTATACGAGCTCGGCCTCCGTCCTGCACGACACACAGAGTGATCTGAAAAATGTGAACGAGGATTGGCCGCTTATTCGGGGCAAGTTGCAGCTGGAGTACTACTCCGATACCAAGGTTCGTTTGTCGACACTTCTTTGGCCTTGCTGGATTTTACTAACGGAAATTCAACCTGCCTAGGCCGAAGCCGAAGAAATAGTCTTAAAGTACAATCGTGCTTCTCCCTCATCGATGGTGACATGTGCTCTGCGCCCCGCAGGTATATACGGCGAGAAGGACACCACATTTACCTTCAAGGTTCTTGAGCACGCGGCCAAAGCGTCCCCGACCGTTTTGCGCATGCAGCTCGGTGATAACAACAACTTGTTCGACTTCACATACGTTGGCAATGTCGCCTACTCTCATCTGCTTGCCGCATACCGTCTTCTTGCCACGCAGACGCGCTACGAGTCCGGACAAGGCGGTCCCCTGGACCATGAGAAAGTAGACGGTGAAGCCTTCAACATCACAAATGACTCCCCCGTGTACTTCTGGGACATTACTCGCGCTGCATGGGCGCTGGCTGGGAAGGTTGTGGAGCCTGATCAGGTGTGGCAGCTTTCTGAGGATCTTCTGGGGCCCGTTGGCGCCGTCTTGGAGACGGTATTTGGATTTATTGGCAAGACTCCCCGTTTGACAAGGCGCATTGTCCGGTACTCATGCATGACTCGCTACTACTCCTGCGAAAAGGCCAAGTACCGACTCGGGTACAGTCCAATCGTCTCGGTCCCTGAGGGACTCTCCCGTGCAGTCGGATATGTGCTGGCACGCGAACGACTCGAGTCCGAAAAGAAGGGGCTGTGAAGCGTTGACTGGAAGATTTTAGGGTCGATATGGCGTATATGTATTGTAATATATGATATGACTATTTCTTGTGACATTCCCCTTGGCTTTGTCCTGTTCATAGTTCTTCATGGAAAGCCACACTTGCTGATACTATTCATGACAGGCATTGTGAAGAAATTCTCATAATACCAAAGGCGAAGCCAGAGCAGGACATACATCTTTATTCACCCTAATCAAGCCAGATATTGTAGGTCAAAGTTGATCGCATATGGGCTGAACCAGCTTTCCTGCCATGCCAGTGCAACACACCAACATAGTGTCACCACAGCTTCCTGAGTAATACCCGGAGCAACTTGTCCTGCTTCGCAAGATGTCTACTAAAGACTCTTCCTGTTTCCCTGGTATACTTCTCCAATGCCCTGAGGACTTGGGAACTTTGTCGGTTTCTTCTTCAAAATACGACAATCGACAAGATCCACGATATTGACATATACCTTGGACAAAGCCTGAAAACCCAAATCAGTGTCCCGGCCCCCAACCCTCAACGCAGCATAGCATACCTGCTTGCATTGCTTGGTAGACGTGAATGGTCCTTTCAGGTCCATCTCCTCGCACAATTGCTGCCAGTTCTGAAGTCCGCTGAGATTCTTTCCAAGCAGTCTATCGTACTCCAGGGCCATGCATCGGTTCCACATCTTGCGCCAGGTTTTTAAGCCGGTCTTCCATTTTCTGTAGTTTGCTAGACGTTTGAACTCATCGCTCACTGAGGAGTCTGGGTTGGGCTTGAAGTCTGGGAAGTCGGTGAAGAACGCACGCGTGTTCGCTGCCATTGCAGGGGAGCTTCCTGTTTGTGCTATCGCTCGGCGAGGTCATGTATTCTTCTCTGGCAGTGTTGAAGGTTGAGTGTTGGCCATAGTAAAGGTCTGGAAGCAACCAGGAAGGCTCCATCATCCCGAAGTCTTCATAGCTCTTTTTATGGGTCTTGGTGGATTAGCTGCCAGAGCTATTGCTTGTCTTAGGGCAGTCAAAGAAAGGCTGCATTCACAGTTAATTGAGTATGTCTTTGCTGGTTGCCTGACTAATTCATATGACAGTCTTTGGACTCGTCTTCGGGAAAGGACGGACCTCACAGGAAAAGAAAGAACTGCCCTAGCGCCATACAAAATTGACGGCAAATGGGTTACAGCTGTGATTCCCACGTCCAAATAGTTTCACATCATGTCATCTGCTTTCTAGCGTGGATTGAGCTGTTCTATTCTCCTGTTTACTTTGCGTCGACCGGTCTTTGAAATGCAGCTCCCTATCCCCTTGGTCAGCTTCTTGGGCTTGTCTACAAGTCTACAAAGCTGGATAGACGGCTTCTCCAACCCGCGGAAAGGCGCTTTGGGTAATGATGAGACGTTTGACTATGTCGTTGTCGGTGGTGGTACTGCTGGAGTGACTCTCGCGGTCCGTCTAGCTGAGCAGAGACTCCGGGTGGCTCTAGTCGAGGCCGGGGAAACATATGAACTCAGGTTCCCAATAGCAGCCATTCCTGGCGCTGCCAGTATAGGTGTGGGCTCTGATATTGAGTCTACCACGCCAATTGACTGGAAATTTGTGGCTAGAAATGTCACGGGTGCTAATCACCGTGACATTCATTATCCCAGAGGCAAATGCCTTGGAGGATCGTAAGAGCATCGCGCTACTTTGCCCTTTTCGAGGCAATAGCATATTTTACTGACTTGATGTTCTAAACTGGCAGGTCAGCTCTGAACTTTATGGCCTACCAAAGGTGAGCCAAACCTCTTTGTTCTCTAATGCCGGTTCCAGGAACTAGGCTGATAGATGTTGTGCTAGACCGACTAGGGAGTCGATGCAGCTCTGGGCTGATCTTGTTCAGGATCAGAGTTACACTTTTGACAACACTCTGCCCTATTATCAGAAGACCGTTCAGTTCACACCCCCAGACACGCTGCGACGCGCCGCGAATGCTACAGCGCAATATCATCCTGATGCCTTCGCTCGTGAAGGACAACGCCCACTTCACGTATCTTACCCTGTCTACGCCATGCCCTTTTCAAGCTGGATGAAACTTGGAGTGGAAGAGGTGGGTATAAACGAAACGTTGGATTTCAACAGCGGATCATTGTTCGGTGCTCAGTACGGCAGCTTTACCATCCGACCGTCTGACGAGACAAGGAGCAGCTCGCAGGCCGCCTTTTTGAGCCCGCTACCTTCATCAACTTACCTGAAAATATATCAGGGCACAATGGCAAAGAGGATGCTATTCAACCCACAAAAGCAAGCGTCTGGGGTGCAAGTCAGCGATTTACTGCGAACTTTCACCCTCAACGCGAAGCGAGAGGTGATCATATCGGCAGGTGTATTCCACACCCCGCAGCTTTTGATGGTTTCTGGAGTCGGGCCGGCCGATACTCTTTCAGAACACGGCATTGATATTGTTCAGAATGCCCCTGGTGTAGGTCAGAATATGTGGGACCATGTTTTTTTCGGACCAACGTACCAGGTAGCTCTCGAGACTTTTACGAGAGTACCAACAGACCTAGGGTATCTCGCATCGCAAATGGCTCAGTATATATTCTCTCATGGGGGAGTACTCACCAGTCCAGTCATTGACTACCTTGCATTTGAGAAGATCCCAAATCCCTTTCGTTTGAACTTCTCAGTTCAGACGATCAGGGACCTTTCGTGGTTTTCAGATGACTGGCCGGAGATTGAGGTTGGTCGCCTCGATGTGCCGCTTTGTTGATGCGTAACTGACTTGCCTTTTTCGGACAGTACATTTCATCAGCTGCCTACGTGGGAAATTCCTCGAATCCTGTTTTCTCGCAACCCTCGGGTGGTAGGCAATATGCAACAATCCTGGGCACCCTTGTTGCGCCAACGTCTCGCGGAAATGTGACTATTGCCTCGAATGATACCTCAGATCTGCCTATAATCAACCCAAATTGGCTTTCAACGGAGGCAGATCAGCAGATAGCGATTGCAGCGTATAAGCGTATCCGTGATATGTTTCACAGCAAGGCCATGGCGCCGATTGTTGTGGGAGATGAGTACTTCCCCGGGAGTCAGTATCAGACGGACGCAGAAATCCTCGAGGTTATTCGCAATACAGTGATGACTATATATCATGCTGCATGTACTTGCAAGATGGGAACGGGAGACGATCCTATGGCTGTCCTCGATAGTCAGGCCAGAGTCGTTGGTGTCGATAGGTTGAGGGTTGTGGATGCCAGTGCATTTCCCATCCTGCCGCCTGGACACCCCCAGGCTACTGTCTGTAAGTAGCAGGAATTCCTCCTTCTGTGGTCATTAACTAACCAATTAGCAGATATGCTTGCGGAGAAGATTGCATCGGACATCATCGCCTCATTAGCCTGAGATCTCTCAGCAAAAGATTTCAGGCATAGCACTATTTTGCCACAGAACTAGAGATTATTTTAATAAAGTCCGGTATATATATATCCATGAAATTTTCCTGGTCTGTTCTGTCTTGAGCAGGGAAGATCTGTGCGAAGCCTTTATCAACAGGTGTACTCTAAAACTTGCCAATATACATCTGCTGTTCCATACACATTGAGCACACAATGGCATCAATTGACCGCCAGACCTCGTTCTAAGGGACATGATACGTTGATTGATCCACGCAAACTGCCGATTCCATCCCTTTGTGACACGGCGACATCAACAACCATGATTCGCGGGCTCGTTATACCATCCCGGCGGAGATAGACTAGAGTAGGAAGTCATGGGGACGAGTAATATGACAGGTTAAGGTCGATCAGCAACGACCTGATAATAATGACGAGGGTTACGCGCGTTGACAATGAAGATCATGAACCATTTCTATCACTCTAAAGAGAGGTAGTCTAGTCAACTCTGTACGTATGGAGGAAATTTGGATGCCAGTCATGGTCTAGGAAGGAGACCTCGTTTGACCAGGCCAAAAATGAGATGGGAGTCCAACAGTTGGCCCATTGATCCCTGAGGGAGACGTTAAAGCGCAGGACAGAGTATCTGTTCCGTGGATTAGGTGTAGAGTCTATCTACTGCCTACCTACCTAAGGTGAAACTTACTAGGGGTGCTTGAGGAAGAGCTCCCCATCTCGTCCAGTCATACTCCAGTATCTGGCTGTATGTCATTCGTGCCCGCAAGAGATGCTGATCGGCGTCCAGCTAGGGATTTCGGGGTAATGATGGACGGTGCCGTTTTTGAGGGTTACGATGTCGACTTGCTGGAGTTGGAGATGAAGATCCTGGAGGATCCATGGAATTGGAGCCAGGCAGGGAGGAGAAAAGTTTGGGTCGCGGACGACGGGTGATGTGAGAGAATATTCTAGCGAAGTTTTGAGTCAGTTTTCCATTCATTGTAATTCGTTCTAAATATGAGGATAAGCTTAATAGGCTTTGCTGAGTATTGGAGGTTGAAATTAAACGAGGCGTTGAGATTATGTGGTTGGCTGCTTCTAAATATGAGTATGATGGGTCAGATTCAATGATTCCATAGACATGGATATACAGTCTGATTACTCTTTGAAGTACGAAGTACATTGAATAGTTAGTAATGAAGGTGGAATTGGATGCGTCATGGGAGAAGCTATGCACAAGGCGTAGGTAGGTCGGTAGGTAGGGAGTGGGTGAGCGACAGAATGGATGCTCGCGGCAGAGGATATGGAGTGTTTCCCCGCCCTTTTACCCCGCAGAGACCGTCAACTGGTCCTACCCTAGGTCCTACTCTTACGCCACGACGCTCAACAAACCTCTTAAAGAAAGCAATACTCAATCACTACGAGTTTTCTCCCTGGCATACTGGAATAACCTAATTGTTTCGAACATGAGATAACCCAGGAATATAATGCGAAACATTGTTCAACGCTGGAGGCCAGTAGGATTCATCTCCGAGCAATCCGCCCGTGGTGGCCAATGGCCACAAAATTACTCTGTGTACACCTTCAAGAAACTCCAATAGATACGAAAGGGTGTTTCCCTCATGGGTTATTGCTATGACTACCATGGCTCGATCGGCAGATGATAAACAACGACTTCATCCTTTATAAGGGCAAACATCCAAAAAGTAATACCCTTGCATAAGCACCAGTGCATGATTCGTCCTTCGCCTCACTGGTTCATTTGGTCGATCCTTTAGTCTAATCTCTTGGGAAGTGTCAAGAGTCAAACTGTCTCATTCCAGTCGAAAAGTTATTTTCCCTAAGAGGCGATGCGATGCCCCTGGATTGAGCGAGGTCAAGTGCTCTGGGGAGAAATGAGATCCATGGGACAAAACGGCCCATGACGAGAGTTGACGTTGCAGGTGTGCCCCGATCAAATCAGCAGCTAGCATTTGTGTCTACTTATGCAAGATGAGTTAAGAGAGTTCAGTAGATACCGTAGGTAAGGTAGTTCAAGTTAGTATCCCCACCTAGAAAGAAAGAATAGACGGACAGACTGCCAGAAAAGGATGTCAACGTGCTTAGTAGCTATTTTTGTGTAGGGAGAAGAAAGTATGAAGTAAGAATAAATCCTAGCGCAGTAAGGACATGCAGATCTAGATTCCACAGAAGAGGGACCGGGTTTGGGAGGTTTGGGATTAACACGGCATGGATGTTTATTGAATGCATGCATCGTCATCTAGTCTACCACCCACAATGGAGAGATACAGACGGACCAACGCATAGCGGCTATTTGAAGAATGACAAGAGGTGGCGGCCAGTGGCTGTTGGGGTAGGTCGTGTGGTCGGAATGATATCCCTTGAGGGGGGAGACAGTCACATAGTAAGAGAAGCAACCATGTGAGAAGAGTTGTCGAGGTGGGAAGGATTCTGGATGACTGAGTCTTCTCATAATGACAGGGAGTGTTATTAAAATCCTTTATTCAAGTAGATAAAATATGAAAACAGCACATAGGCTTTCTTGGATAGAACAAACAAACGACTTCTAACTTACCGAGACTGGTCTACATAAGTTTATAAGCATACAATAGTAAAGTAACTAACTAACTAAACATGAGAATGCAATCATGAGATAGCTAGACTCCAAAGTCAAGACAATAACATCGTGCCATCGGCTAGTCTAGTCTATCACAAGTGGACCGCCTATTTGCTGATCAATCAACTTCAGAAACATCAAACCAATTGTATTGCCTAGATAGAATCATGTTGAGACTAAGTTTCTCGTCCTATGGGCTCAACCTTGTAGGCATTTCTACTTTTTTAGTACAAAAATAATGAAAAGTAGACTAGAATCTTGAGGCCATTTTCCCTTGATAAAGTAAAACAATAGAGAGAGAGAGGGAGGTTGTTAAGGTATCCAAGTGCTGCACTGCTGTTGCGTTCTCCCGCCTTCAGTCAGAGTGTTTCGTCTTGTTTCGTCTTTTCTCTTCGGCTTCTTCCGTTCCACGTCCATCCTCGACTAACCTCACTTCTTTTTCTCCTCTTTCGAACTACCTTATCTATTTTCTAACCATCACCAATTCTTTTCGACTATTGTGATTTTATTGCTTCAAGTTTTCCACACTACATCCAACTTCTGATTGAGTCAATCACCTCTCTTGAGGGTTGACTCTGTCGATCATCACCCTAGTTTCGCGTTTACACCTCTCCGTCGCGCCATTCCCCGCATAGCCGCTATTCTCCGTCCAATTTCACTCCTCCTTCGACCTTGAATTTTTGTCTGACCAAAAATCTCTCTACATCCTTCGCGTTTGGGGCAATCCGTCTCCTCTGCTACTTGCTTTGGGAGACACGGTTGTCTCACAGCGCCTGTCGTCCTCTGTGAGGTCATTCCTCTCCTCTCTCGCCTGCGTACCCCCGCGACCCAGCCATGGCCCGTTAGTCCTGCGGATGCATTCATAACACCGCACGAGGGCACCGGCTCTGCCCGGCAGACGCTCTGCTCGGCTTACTGTACACTTTCGGTTCATTTGGCTAGCTTGATTCTTCCTCGCGCGCTGCACTCACAACACGTCGTCTACGCCGCTCTCGGTCCCTAATCCGGTCGGGTGGACCTCTCAGTATGGCGGGAAATGGCACACCCAGTGCCCAGTTCCTTGCTCCCCCGGCCGTTACTGCTTTGAGGCAGGAGGCTCGGGGGATCGACCCAAAATTCCCACCCATGACTCGTTCCCTTAGCGAGGATATGCGGGAAGAACGCGAGGAGTTGAAGGAGGCGGCGGAGCAGACCTTGAACGTCATCGTGGATTTGGATCTGGACGGCCGCATCAAATGGGTCAGTCCATCATGGCGACAAGTGGTGGGGACATCTCCTGAATCGTTAGAAGGGCGAATGATTTCGGATTTCCTGGTCAACAACAAGACTGCCTTCCACGACGCTATTGAGTCCATGAAGGAAGATGACTCTCGCAGTCGCTTTATTCGCTTCGGTGTGAGGATGGGCCCCGAGTCAATACTGAAATACTCCCCTGAGCCCCGACCAGTCGATACGGTGACAGAAGAAAGCAGTGAGGGCTCTCAACCGTCGAAGGAAAATGAGAACTACCATGACGTCTTGAGCATGGAAGGGCAAGGCATTATGGTATTTGAGCGGACGCCAGATGGGACCGGTCATGTAGGTTTCCACTCATTCCGACATAACGCGTTAACCGCAGAATGACAGACTAACGAAGCTCTGATTTCAGACAATGTGGATGCTACGGCCTTTCCATCAACCCCGAGAAGTGACTATTGATCTTCCTCCTCTATTGGTGGAGTCGTTGGGTGTCGGTGCTGAAGTACTGGCGAACTACTTGACAACTCTCGCTGAGGCTGCGGCGAATGAACCCGATCCCTCGAAGTACCCTGCGCCCAATCCGGTACTCTGTCGCATTTGTGAGCGTCAGATCACCCCTTGGTGGTTCGAGAAACACTCCGATCTCTGCCTGCAGGAACATCGGGCAGAGATGGACGTCCAGATCGCTCAGGAAAATCTTAACGAGCACCGTCACGCGATTGTGAAAGTCCTAGATGCATTGGAGGCTCGACAAAGCAGGCCTCTGGCGGGCGAAGCGCCTTCCCCGACACCGCAGCCGGAGTATAAAGGATTAGCAATTGGGCCGTCACCCGTTGTTTCGGCACCCTCTTCTGGAAATGTTTCAAACTCTAGCTCGGCTCCATGCACTCCCCCGCGGTCCCGCGAACATTCAGCTTCGGATGGCGGCCATTCACGCGGTCGTTCATTTGCAGTTCGGCGACCGTTGACTCGGATTGTTGAGCTGATTCTCGATCTGTGCGACACAGCTCTCGAAATTAACATGCCCGTGATCAAAGAGCCCCGCGGGGACAGCATGGACGATTTCCGGACTCTCTCACCGCAATCCGAGTGTCGAATCTCCCAAGTCTTGCAGTGGCAATCTCCCAGTTCCAACACTTTGGAACAGGAGCAAGGTCTCGCTGCTCTAAGCGCTGACACGGAGCAGGTCTGCAAAGCAAAAGTTGACGCAGTTATCCGCCATCGCAAGATCGTCGAATACGCAGAGCGAATTCGCATTGAGTATACGGTGATGGTGGAAGACTGTATTGCAGCTGCCCTTAGTAAGGCTGAACGTATCGCTGCTGGCCAGTTGAGCGATTCCACTTGCCCATCGGAAGATGAACTCCCGCCTGAAAACGCTACTGCTCCATCTGCGCCGGCTAATGACAGTAGCACTGCCGTCGCTCCTCCCCTGTCACCGCAGCCTGTGACCCGGCAGACAACTCCGTCGACATCTGCATTGACCATGTCTATGCGCAATGCATCCGAACGCTTCCAGTTCCCGCACACTGAGGGTAGGTCCTCGTCGGTTGCGGTCTCTACAGGATCAAACAGCCCAATGGAATGTCCTACTCCCCGGTCGCACAGAAGTACCGCGGGATTATTAGGCACATCTCAACCTTCTCGTCGGGGGCTC